AACATATTAAACCACTTATTTTAATAACATATTAACCATGTTTATAATATTAAAAATACTAATATATATTTTTATTTATTTCAGACTATGAATGCTTCCAGTGGTCCTAATGTTGATGAGATCATTTATAATGACTTAAATGATACTGATGGAAATAGTAGTAGGTCAGATTGGTTAGATAAAGACAATTTATTATCAGATAATGATGATGAGGAAATAGTTGCAATTAAAAGTAAGTTCAGAGTATTCCAAAGGAAAATAAAAATAGATCTGTTAATGTAGAATACTTGAGAGTTAATGTTGAACAGGAGGGTAGAGTTGATATTGAACATAATGAGAACATATGTTTCTATCGAGGAAAATGAAGAAGCTTTAAGGGGTTTAGATAGTAGAGAGGAAATTGATTACTTAGACTCTTCTGACATTGATAGTTATGAGACAGACTTAGATGGTGATATTATTTGTAAGAAGAGTGGTAAGGTATTTTTTTATGCTTCAACTGTTGAACCGAACTTCCAGGTGGGAATGATATTTGAATCTCAACAACAATTTAAGGATGCTCTTTATGCTTATACAGTAGCTAATAGTTTTGATTTTAGGTTTGTTTCAAATAGAAAAGAGAAAATTAGGTTCATGTGTAAGAGAAATGGATGCCCTTTTGTTATACATTCTTATTGGGATAAATTTGATGAGTGTTACTAGATCAAGACATTAGTGACTAAGAACAAGTGTTCTATGGATTTTAAGAACATAAGAGCAAATTACAAGTTGATAGGGAAACATTTTCTTCCAAAGTTTAGGATTGTACCTAACTTAAAGATTGTAAAAATGCAAAGACTTAGCAGGGAGGAGCTCAAAGTTGACTTACCGAAGAATACATGCTTTAAAGCTGGGAAATGTGCTTTAGAAAATATCAAGGGTAATGTTGCCGTCGAGTTTGAGAAACTATTTGATTATGTTTATGCTTTAAGGAGTAGTAATCCAAACGGAGCATTTGAGCTTATGGTTGAAAGGCCCAACGAAACTGAAAAACCCAAATTTAAGAGGTTTTATGTGTGTTTTAGTGCACTGAAGAAAGAGTTTAAAAGGTTTTGTAGACCTATAATTTCATTGGATGGTTACTTCTTGAAAGGGTTATTCAAATGTGAATTTTTTTTTGTTGTGGGTAAAGATGGAAACAAAAAAAATTTCCTATAGCTAGGGCAGTAGTGGAGGTGGAAAACAATGAGACTTGGGCATGATTTTTGTAACTTATTTTGAATGACTTGGACTTGTGAGATGTTTCTCACCTCACTTTGGTTAGTGATATGCATAAGGTATAATTCTATTCAATTAATTTTTTTCTATGCAATTTGAAATTTATAAAATATTTAGATAATAATTCTTATATTTATTGCCTTTTTTTGTTGTTATGAAGGGGATGCTTGAAGAGGTTATTCTATGCTTACCAAATGTGGAGCAAATATTTTGTGCTAGACATATGTATTCCAATTGGAAGAAACTGCACAGAGGTGGTGACCTTCAGCGGCTATTTTGGTTATGTTGCAAGGCTACAACTCGTCCTCAAATCAAACATCATTCTTCAAAAATTGGACGATTAAAGAAGACATCATTTGATGACCTAATGGCAAATGATCCACATCATTGGTCCAAAGCCTTATTCTCTACTAGGTCTAAGTCTGACACAGTTGATAATATTTTTTCAGAGGATTTTAATTCAATCATTCTAGGGGCTAGGTTTAAGTCTATAATCTAAATGTTTGAGAACATTATACATTATGTCATGTTTAGGCTAGTTCAAAATAAGAAAAAACACATTTAATTGGGAAAGTGAATTGTGCCCTAGAGTTGAAAAAAAACTTGAAATTCAAAAGGGTATGAGTGCATATTGTCATGTGATTTGGAATGGGGCTGAAGGGTATGAGGTCATGTGTCATGAAGACACATTTGTTGTTGATTTTAGGGGCTGGTCATGCACTTGTAGAGTATGTGACCTAACATGTATTCTATGTCCCCATATTATATGTGTCATATTATATAGAGGAGACAAATTAGAGGATTCTATATTTGATGCATACAAAACACATGTATTTATTGATTTATACACTGTTGTCCTACCTTCAATCCCAAGTGAAAAATTCTAGAAAACACAAAAATGGGCACCTTTGATCCTCCATTGAAGAGAAACTTATCTAGAAGGCCAAAGCATAAAAGAATAAGAGATGAATGTGAAATGCATACTCAGAACAAGTGGACGGGACGGGGATCAAGAATGACTTGTAGATTTTGTGGGGTTGTTGGACATAATATGAAAACATGTCCAAACAAAAATCCAGCCAATGTAAGTTTTTTAGTTTACTAAAACATTAAACTTTATTATTTAAATTGTTGAGGTTGTTAAATTTTTTTTTTGCATTAACAGCCTGGAAGACCAAGCCAAGTGGTGTTTTTTAGACCTCACAGAAGATTAACTTCTCATTCTGCTGCAACATTTTCTGCCCCTGCTGCAACATATTCTGCCCCTACTGCAACATATTCTTAACAGTCCGCTATATATTGCTAAGCCTCCAAGAAAAAGAGGACCAAAGATGCCTACCAAGGCCTAACAAAATCATATAGATACCTTAGAAAATGATGCTTATGTTGGATATTTTGTGATGCTATATGTTTAGTTATTATGTTCCAAACAAGTTATATGTTGGATACCTTAGAAAATCATATTTTGTGATGTTGGATACCTTCTGTTATATGTTTAGTTATTATGTGCCAAACATGTTATTATGTGTATGTCATGAGCTGTTATATTTTATGATGTTAGATATCATGTATCAAACAAGTGTTGACTATTGTTATATTTTGTGTATGACAAACACCTATTTTCTTATATGTTTAGTTATATTTTCTGTAAATTAATGTTGATTTGGTGTTAGCAAATGTTCATTTATGTCATGCAAATGTTATTATGTCCAAATTAATGTCATTAACAAAACACTGTCAAATAAAATAGATATCAAACATTTTACTTGTCTTCACATATCAAACATAATACATAAGTAAACATTTTAATTGGTCTTCACATATCAAACAAAACACATAACCAAACATTTTTCTTAGTCTTAACACATCTAAACTTTCTTATGCTATCTAAAAACCTAATTTTATCATAATATACAATATCCATGAAGTAAAAAAAACTATCTTATAGTATAGTGAGTTGTTCCTCATGTTTGTTGCATTCACTTTATACGCTCTAATTTTTTCTTTTTGATCTTCCGCTAATGTTCATAGCCTCTGAACTTCATCAAATATAACAAGTTTCTTCAATTCATTGTTTTCAGCCTTAATCTTGTAATTCTCCATCATTAAAATTTCAAGTTAACCTCTCGAATCTTTAATTACAGAACCATTGCTTTCTTCCTTGTCAAGCCACTGAAAAAACTTGCAACAATTCTAGGGAAAATTTAAGTAAAAAATAATAGAAAAATTTATACCAATCAAAAAAGCTTTATAAGTTCTTATACGGGAACAATAATTTACAATAAATGAAAATAGAAGAAACCTAATTTGATGGAAACACCCACAAATCGAATAACCATAAAATCGAACAACCCATAAAATAGAACACTAAAATGTTAAATTTAAAATATTTTTGAAATTATTTAATTTTGAATTTAGAAAATAAAAATGATCTCTTTCTCTTAGGAACACCCATAAAATCTTCTTCCTTTGCTCCAAGGCATACTTGAACTGCATATGGGGGCTTTCATTTTGCAATAACAATACATGACCCTCAAACTCTAACATGATTTTGAGGATTCACTCGATAACTCTGACAAATAAAGAGTAAATAGAAATTTTGAGTAATTTTTAGGGCTTCAATCTATGTTTTTCCACTTAACCATAAACCTTAGATTGAAATAGAGAAATGGAAGAATAATGAAAGGGAGAGGAGAGGACAATGTTTAGAGGAAACATTGAGGAGAAAGAAATGCTCGGTAACTTTTCATTTAACCCTAAATGATAATTAAAATAATATTATATGTTATTTTTATTTTATATTAAATTAACATTTGAATTTAAAGAAATTATCAATAAATAAAAAATCTTGATATGTGTCGTGTTTTAATTGGATACAAGTTTTTTTAACGACAGTTAGGGTTGAACACTTAAAATTATAATAGGAAAAAATTAAGCACCTATTTTTAGTAAAAAAAAATTTATGCACTAAAACGTGTTTTTCTAGGTAAAGTTTAAGCACTTATTTTTTTTTATTAAGCCTTTATATTTTTTCAACAACTCAAAAAATTGTTGTTAATTGAAAAGTGGAGGAAACCTAAACACAATGCGTAAAGTGCACACACGTGTAAGTTAGCAGGTTCTTCTTAGACTTGCAACAGCATGAAAACCCTCTTCATGAGTTATTGACATATTTAGGCTTCAAGCTTTATCTATCAATTGGGTCTTGTAACATCACAACTAGAATAAAAAAATATTTGAATCTTATTTTAGACGGAAATAAGTGTCTATATATATATCATACTTGTACTAAATAATAAATTTTGTACTAATTAAATAAATTATTAAGGTAGTTGTATTATGTGAAAATCTAATTTAAGATTAATTTACGATGAATTTTAATTTAAAATATTATTTCATCATATTTAAACATTATATAATTGACAATAATTTTAATTATAATTGTTAATTTAATTCGATCCCATAAATTGATTTGATATTGATTAGAGAAATTAAAAAAAAACTAATATTTTTTAATCAATTGATAAAATATATATATATATATATATATAAATATAATTATTTAGATTGAAAATCATTAAAAAATTAATTTTTTTATTATTAAAATAACTTAAAACGTTAATATTCAATTTATCTATTACGAAATCTACAAAAACAAAATATAAGAGTAACTCAAATTTAATGGAGATAAGGTCTGCGGCACACGAGAGGAAAAATAAATATTTAAAATACGCGGCACTCGAGAGGAAAAAATAAACATTTAAAAAGGCGGTGGAGTGCGAGAGACTCCGAGGAAAAAGAGAAGAAAAGAAAAATGAAATACTGAAAAAATTCAGGTAAATTTATTTATTTAATTTTAAAGATTTTTTAATTATTGATTTTTGTTTATGTGGGAAAGAGTAAATTCAATTCTGTTATTAATTGCCGCTTCAAGACATATTTTTCCTCAGATCATCATGAGAGAAAGATAAAAATGTTAAATTCATGAAGAGCAAAAATTGAAATGTTTTAGTTTATTATTATTGCATGTATAACTTTGTTTTATTCTACATTTTTAATGTCATTTTTTCCTGTATAACAACGGAGAGGACATTTTGAAGTATAAATTGGGGGATTGAGATTGAAATTTGAGTGGAAAATTTATCCCGGGGATAACGAGTGAGGTAGGGAGGGGGATCCAAGTGAGGAAGAGAGGAGTTAATTTAATGTTAGATTTGCGCGATCGTTTGCGTCCGCTATGGCGGCGGCGAAAATAGCATCTATTGTGGTGAGGCGGGAGGAGCGGCGTATTGAGGAGCTTTACAATGCGAATTAAGATACTCTACGAGCCGGAACATTGTAATATCAAATTTTCTCTTCTATAGGGTTTTGTTTAATTTTAGCGACTAGAAACATTTCAATATTGAATTCATTGTTTCGAAATTTAATTGATGGTGTTTTCGAGTTGAACTTTTCTATTCATTTGGATGCCATGGAATATGTGGAAATGCTAGTAATATTTTATCATTAAAAACAATGTATCTCTATTCTGGTGTTGGGTGGCCTATGTTAGGAACTAGGGTTTTAGGTTTTGGAAATTGGATATATTTCTTCCCTTCCTTATTGTGTTCAGTTGTGCAACATTGTAGGACACTGTGTTAGGCATCTGTGAGGAGTTTAGATGCAAGGGCTTGCCATTTCGGTGGTTTTAGATGTTATTAAATAGAGAAGTTTTTTACTATGGGTTTACTTGGAGAACATTTTTTTAATGATGCATTTTTGGTGCAGTTTGATTGCCTTTTATAAATATTGCGTTCAAGGTCCAGTGCATGAGATGGTATTAAGAAGAATTGGTGAGAACAGGTAATCTGCAATCTATGCTCTTAACTTGCAAATGCTTTTCTTTATCAATCATGTTGGTACAATAATGTTTTTGATTGAAAGAAGGATAGACATCTATTTATTGGCACTGACTAAAGAAAGTGCCTAGTTCTTTGCTGTCGCTCTCCTCAAAAGAAAGTGCCTAGTTCTTTGCTGTCGCTCTCCTCATAAGACTATAATACACGGTATTTAGTTATGGTTAACTTTAGCATTTTCCTGGTGAAGCGTGTTGAAAACCAGATGAACAGATAGGTAGGGGATGAAGAATGATAGATTAGAAAATTACTTTACTTTCCCCTTGTGCTTTCTGGGAATGGTTTAGAAGTGGAGTGCAAGAAAATTATGTACTTATTTCTTAGTTTTTGTATGCTGTCTCCCAATCTCATTTGTTTTCGCTGGATTCATATTTGTTGGCTTAGCAAATGGTCTCCCTTCATCGTTTCCATTTTCTATGTTCTCTCAGTACCAAGTAAAATGTTATTGTCATGCATGCATCCATTTCCCGACTTAAATTGGATTACGTCTACTCAGCATATATGGATCCTGTTGAGGAGCTGGTATGATTTTTTTAAAGATTCCTAGCTCTTAGAATTTAAAGCACTTCATTGCATTATAACTTTTATTGCAGTTTGGTGGTGCTAATTTTCTGCACCGTTCAGTTTCAATGATGAAAAGTGCGCTCTATTAGAAATGTCATCGATTTGCTTCTAAATATTAATCTTTGGAATAGTTTTAGTGTATGGTTGATTGTTTTGTATAAAAAGTTTGCCTAGTCAGAAGATTTTAGATTCAATAAAATATTAGATTGGTGCTTTGTTTGATTCCTTTTTTTAACCTTTCTAGATAATTTCTCTGATGCAAAGCTCATTATTTTCCTGTTAGTATATCTTCCAGAGTAGAAAGCAGTTAATCTTCTTTTTTATGATGGTTGAATTAAAAATTATTCACACTTGCTATTAGTATTTTTGTTCCATAGGATCAGTTAATTTTTTCTTTTAGTAAAGGGAATAAAGTACATGTTTGTTAAAAGGCATGCATCTTTCCTTTCCATTTATTATTTGCTTATTTGTTCTTTTGTTTTTTTATTCTTAGGTACCATGAAAAAGAGTAGAAAGGTTTATTTGGTGTAACATGAGTCAAAAAGTTCATCCCAAAGCAGAATCTATAACCTGCAACGTTTGCTCTGCCCCTTTTTCATCTTGTATGCACCATAGTATAGCTCAAATGGGATTAAAAAGTGATGACTTTTCCAATGAATCTGATCCTGTTGATGTGGCAAGTCTGCACTCTAACAACAAGGATACAACAGGTGACAGCTTACAACATACCCTGCGTGAAGCAAACAATTTACTAGGTGTCAATTCAAATCATGATTCTTACTCCAAACATATAGAAACTAAAGCAACTATAAGGCCATCTGGTGTATTTGATGAAGTAGATGATGTTGGGATTCAAAGGGCCTTCTCAAATAAATATGATGGTTTCAAAAGTGTTGAAGGCCATGATGATAATATTTCTTCTGCTAGTAGATCCAATGATGCAAATAACAACAATTTAGATATTAAGGATTCATCTCTTAGTTCATTGTCAGTTTGTAGTCTGGGATCCGAAAAGTTGCTCTCTTCCCAGAAGCTAGACTTGTCTGAACTTCTTTCCATAAAGGAGGAAGATGCTGATAGTAATTCACTGAGGATACAAAGCCCATATTCACATTCTCAAAGTGGCAAAGTTGCTATTGGAGGCAGTTCTGAGATATCTGCCAAAATTCGGAAGTGCGAAGCAGATATCGACAAAAATAGTGGTGTCCCGCCAGGTAATGGTGGTAAAAGTTTGAATGAAGGCGAGCAAGATGAGTTGACTGAGTTTGTTGAATTATCTGACAAGAAGGAGTTTCCTTTGCAAGCACTTTCTGCAGATGAGGGTTATGAATCAGATGCTTCGGAAGATGTCAGTAATTATGTTTTATTCTTTGTTTGAAGAAAGTCTGCATGCATTGACTGATATAACTGGGTTCCTTGGGACTGATTGTTGTATTATATAAAACCGGATTCCATCTAATTTACATTACTTAAAGAGAATTGGTTCTTTTCTTTCTTTACCCTTGCAGGACTGCTAGATTTGTTGTTTATTTAACTTCAAAAAAATTGATCAAATACTCATTCATATCAATAATTTTGCTGATTTGTGTGTTCTTTGTTTTCCCAATTGTTTGCAATAGGTTAAAGTATGTGATATTTGTGGGGATGCAGGACAAGAGGATTTGCTTGCTATATGTAGCAAGTGCTCTGATGGGGCAGAGCACACGTAAGTGCACTGATCCCTCTATCCTTATGTTTCTTCTGTAAGTTTTATTGATATTTTGTTTTTAATTCTATTGATCAGTTATTGTATGCGAGAAATGCTTCAGAAAGTTCCTGAAGGTTATTGGCTTTGTGAAGAATGCAAGCTTGTTGATGAGACTGAATCCCAAAAACAAGGTTAGTTATCAAACTGATGGAACAGAAAATGGCACTCTGACAGGTCCTGTACTGAACTCCTTTCGCAATTGAATTTTCAAGGTTTGAATTTTGGAAAAAGCAAACGAAGTTGGCTCAAGTATGCAGAGCTTAGCTAAGAGGCATGCTGAAAATCTAGAGAGTGCTTTGGCTCCGAAACAGAAGGCTGTTGAAACAAGTATGGGATCACCAGAACCATTGAGCCCTAATAGAGTATCTGCACTGTCTCGAGGGGGTTCATTCAAGGACTTAGACAAGGGGAAAGTGAAGCCATATCTGCAAAATTCTTTTGGAAACCATTCTGGTAATGATATGCCAGAAACTGTACGTTCTCCTTCTGGTACACAACTACAAGCACCAAAGGGTAAGTGAACTGAATTTGTTGGCTAAATTTTTTCCTATATTTGTTATTTTTACACATTGGCATACCATTCTACTTGATACAGGTACCTCATTTAAATCAAATTCATTCAATAGTTTGAACTCCAAATGGAGAGTCAAGGTTGTAGATGAAGTTGTATTTCCGAAACAGAAAAGTGCTAGAGAACATGAATCCCTTGATAGCAGGGAGGAACTTGGTAGAATGATGGACAAATCCTTCTCATTTAAATCCGCTAACTCAGGAAAGTTGAATACCGGGGAATCAAAGTTTAAAAGGCTATCATCTAAATATCTGCATGTTCAAGATCAGAAAGGATCAAAGATAGATAGAGAGCAGATATCATTAGAAAGGAAAAGTTCCTCAAAGTCGGTTCGCTCGGGTTCTACTGTCTCCATACACAAGGTTGATAAGAAACAGACACCTCGCTCTGACATAATTTTCCATTCATCTGCAAGCAACTACAAAGAAACTAAGGTTGCTCAGTCTGATGGAAAACAAAGTACTTTATCAAAATCTACCAGCAATCTAGATCGCAAAGCTGTAGAAAGTGCAATTACTTCTGGTACGTTGTCACATTCTTATGGAGGGACTACTTTTTTTCGTTTTAATGTTGACTTGAATGTTTTGCTGTGTATTCTCTATGTTACCTTGTCTTTGTTTCTGTTTCCTTTGGTTCACCCTGACAAGTTAAGAGCATTCTTCTTATTTTGCAGATGTTGTGGTTCCATCAACCAATGGATGTATTCCTTTTGAACAGAAATTAAACCAACTAAACCAGTTGGAGCAACATAATAATTTTATTGGAGTTATGTCAGATGAGCCATGTCTGTCATTAGATTCAACAAACCAGAGTGAGAAATCTAGGGAGAGCTCTGTTAGTCGCTCCTCAAAAAGTGTTCCATGTCTAAAACACAAAGAAACAAGTCATACAGTTGACTCTTGTCTAGTTTCTAAAGCTTCTGGTGCTGATAAGTCTGATCCAAGGACATGTAGGGAGGACACATATAAAGGCAATAAGTTGAAAGCTGCAATTGAAGCAGCTATTCGTTTGAGGCCTGGAATACATGACAGAGCATCTCATGTTCCATCATCAATAACTAATAAGACAAAGAATATGATTCCTGTCAAACGTATACATGAAGGGCAAGAAAATCTTTGTAATCAGGCTTCCATTGGTAATATCAAGCAGCTTAATTCACATTCCACTGATGCTGTCTCTGCGGTTTCTTCTGTTGTCAATCTTTCAATGAGAGAGATATCCATCCCTCCTTTAGCCTCGAGGTCTGCTGTCTCAAATAGTTCAGCCATCCCAGAACATGAATGCATCTGGCAGTAGGATTCTTTCCCTTCTATTGAACTATTTTTCCCCATTGTACCATTTTCATTTATTGCTGCAGCATACTATGCCTTTAGATTTTTCTCAAATGAGATCAATCCTGTTACTTTTATGCAGGGGAGCTTTTGAGGTGCATAAAAGTGGAAAACTTCCAGGGTTTTCTGCTGAAATTCAAGCCCATCTCTCAACACTTGCATCGCCTCAAGTGCTTGAAGTTGTCAACTCTTTTCCCCACAAAGTTTCCTTGAATGAAGTACCTCGCTTGAGCACTTGGCCGACACATTTTCATGACAGTGGTCCTAAAGAAGATAATATAGCTCTATATTTCTTTGCCAAGAACCATGAAAGGTATATTTGAACATATGTTGTATTGTTCTCATTGTTCGGACTTCCTCTTCTTCTTTCCATTCTCCATTTGGATTGATCACTGATGCAATTTTTCTCAATTCTCTCTTAAAACTTAGTTTTGTGTTTTTCGTTTCAGTTATGAGAACTACAAGGCCCTTCTGGATACCATGGTCAAGAATGACTTTGCTCTCAAGGGAGCTTTTGAAGGTGTTGAACTGTTGATATTCCCATCCAACCAACTTCCTGAAAATTGCCAGCGTAAGATTTGCTGCAAAATTGAGATACTAAAATACGGTATTGAACCCTGTAATTTTTCTTGGTTTGACTGTATGCTTTGATCTAAGAGTCGTGAAAAGGCTTGGATAAAGGGTTATGTCTGCCTATACCACACCATGTGGCCTAGTAGGTGCTGGTAAAGCTTGTTTATTGGGGCTATTTTTTATATTGGATGGTGCTCGCCTGGGTTGAGGTGAGGCGATTTACAAGAGGCGTCCGGAAGCGCGTGCCTCCGGGCTTTAGGCGCCAGGCGCAGCGCCTTTGTGCCTTTCGGATATTTTTTAAGATATTAATATTTTAATAAATTATTATATTTTAATATAAAAACCCCATCTTAAAAAAAAAACTCACTCACAATACAATCACTAAACATAATCCCTAATATTCTTTCTCCATCGCATGCCTCTCTTCTCCACCGTGATCTGCTTCTCCATTGCACGCCTTTGCTTTATTTTTTGTTTAAGTGTTACAACTTGAAACATTAAGATGGTGATATTTGCTTTGCTTCATATTTCTTCTTTTTGAACTATGTTTTTTATGTTTGTTTGTGTGTTATTAGTAGTTAGTTGTTAGTTGATAGTGTAATGGTATTGAATATTTTGATCTTTAAAGAATTATATTATTATTTATCATATTATTTTGAGTACAAAATATAGTTTACACTTGATATATATTATATATTACAAATAGCGCGCCTGTGCCTTTCGCCTAGACTTCAAGGACCTTTTGCGCCTCGGTGTGCCTTGCGCACTTAAAAACCAAGGCTAAGGCTACTAGATGATATGATGCATTAAACACCCAAATGTGGGCAGAGTTATGTCACCCCTTGGTGTTCAAAGAAAGGAGCTTATGATGGCAAGTAAAAAAAGGAAAGAAAGAAAAGAAATATCCTTTTGTTTATAAACTCTGCTTAAGCAACATGGAAGACATCTTTTGCTACCGAGCGTTTTCTGTCTCTCTTGCCAACATCAGCGCTGTAGCCTGCATTAGAACATGTTTACATTACTGTAGACTGTATACATGCGATGTATTGCAAATCTTTACTGTTTTTTTAAGTGCGTTGTCCATAGGCTTTTTGGGGATTTTTTCATTTTCATTTTTTTATGTAGATCATTAGCTTGTGTTATTTAATTCTGTCAAGTGTCAAATGCTGTTCATTGCATGTCTTCCTGTTTCTGCGTTAGCACAACTCAAACACTACTTCTTAATCACTAATTTGTGGGGACAGGCTACATGAATCTTTTTCTTTCATTCCATTTATTTGATGTGACATTATATGGGAAATTCCTTGACATCAGATCAAATGGTTTTAGTGTATTAACTCATAATTTAGCATATCGACAGAACATTATGTTCTCATTCTTTGAGGCTGATTTCTTTTATGTGTTTTCATTTGTTTCTTTTTGTTCTTAAGATTAGTCTTTACTTATGTTGGATTTTTTGTCTTTATGTTTGGTATTTTTCATATTTTGATTTTTCTTTAAAAGAATGCTAAAATCTGTGATCTAATATTTGCAGGGTGGAATGCATTATTATTCCTTTGGGGTGTTTTCAAGGGAAGAAGAGCAAACTCTTCTAATTTCACGAAGAGTGTACGCAATCCTGATGCAAGTATGATACATTTGGAAAGGGAGATGTCTGTGGATATGTCTCAGCCGGTAGATGATAAATCAGCTGCATGTGATAGTACTTGCAATGTAGTCCCAGTAACCAGTGCTGTTGAAAAAGCTTGTATCTCAACAGATAGAGTGGGTGATAACAAGGTCTCTTCTTTTGAACAGGCATACGTGGGAATAAAAGCAAAATTGGAGGAGCAAGATGGTAAAGTTGACACCAAAATCTTGCCGAGAATTGCAACAAGCAGCTCACAGGTGCATCCAGAAACAAAATGCAATAGTCCTCCTCCGGTAATGTGCTCTTCTGTCTATGTACCTTAGCCACATTGGAAGGACTAGTAATCATTGAAACTTTATTTGTTTTTTTATTTGAATTGTATTGCATTCGTTTTTGGAAAACGGGAAAAAGAAACAAAACTTCCTTCCTATTGACCTTCGTCTTTGGTTTGCAGGAAGAGAGCAAAGTTCCAGATTGTAGATCCGACACAGATCTCAAACCTAGCCTTCAGGCTACTGAAACCAATAGTGGTTCTGTTAGAGTTGAGAAAGAGGAAATGCATGTCCAAGAAGATTATCCACTTTCAAAAAATTGCCCTACTGAAGAGCAAATTGCAGTTGTGATGGGTGAAATTGATGGTGATTCTGTTAAAATTAGGGATCCGATGAATAATGTGGGTGCCAATGGAAAAACTTCTTCAAAGAGAGATCTTGATTGTTTGCAACCGAATAATCGGAAACGCACGTACTTGGATCTTACAGAAACAGTTTCAGAAATTTGTACCGATAGAAGTAAAAAGTTGCCATGGAGTGAGGTGAAGAGAGTTTCTATAGGTGAAGGAAGCGATAATAAAATGCTGAAGACAGGTTTCAGTGGGATAAATCAATTTAGCAGTGTTAGAGATCAAGGTTCTTCCGGTTATAGTTTAGCGTCAGATAGACATGATCAGTGTTCCGCCTCATCTTTCGAAGAGAAGAAATGTGATGTTGCTTGTGAAAACAAAGTTATCCCCAAGGACATTGGAAGTAGCGAAGGGTGTTTGTATCCCGTGGTTTCACGTCATGCAAGGGAACTTCAGTTGCGGGACAACTCTAAACCGTGGAAGGAGCTCTCCGTAAAAGACGAGGACCGAGTTCACGTCACATCTCCTAATCTTGAGCTGGCTTTAGGGGCTGGGACTGTATCACAAAACAGAGGGATCTCACCTTTCGTTGTTGAAACAGTAGATGACAAGGTAACCGGAAAAGAAAAGGAGGATACATCTGCCTCACTTTCCCTTTCCCTCTCATTTCCATGTCAAGAAGAGGAATAGAATGCAAAGTCGGATTCCAAAACCGAGCAGCTCATGTCCTCGAGGCATACTGGGATACTACCACTGCTAATGCATGGAGGGTGGTCCTAAGTGTTTAATTTGAGAAGGTGAGAAAATGTGGTAAAAATTACAAGCCAATGCTTTCTTTTTCTTCATGAGGTCTGAAGACAATCAATCAGTTTTGACCTAAAGGTGTCCATGCTGGTAGAATTGGGTTGGATTGATCTATGAATACAAAATACGTTTACCCAAGTTCGGCTTAAATTTAAAACATAATTAATTTAGTGAATTTTTTTAATTTAATATTTTTGTTGAAAAATTCTCAAATATTAAATGGAATTTAAAATTTGGACGAACAGAAGTCAGCTCTTGGATAGGTTTATTTCGACCTCAAACTCGGTAGCAGTAGGAAGATCAAAACCATACTCAGTAGCAGTAGGAACATAACCATCTCATGCTATATTGGATCCATTAGGCTTCAAATCCAATGAATACGAAGCAAATTTCCCTATCAAGCAACGACACACTTTATTAAATTATCCAAGGTTCGTATTTCTTTCAAATGTCCATGTTCAATTGTTTCATGTACATATTTTTTTAATTAATCACTAATATCTGAGTTATTAACCAAATAATCTTTGGATAATTTAGATTAGATTTTATAGAGGTCCATTAAAAGGGCGATCATTCTAATCTAGTTTGTTCTATATGCAAACGTTAAGATTTAAACCTATAATGTTGTTTAAAAAAATCTAGTGTCTTATTTCACTATACCAATTATTGATTACATTTTTGTTTTCGTTTCCTTTACCTTAAACTAAAGATAAATATCTAGTGAGATTAATTGTTGTGATATTTAAAAAAATGAAATTTTACTTTGTTAATTATATTATTTTAAAAATAATACACATCAGTGTAAAATACATTCAATTTCATTAAATTACATTATTCTTTAATTTTTTGTTATCTAAAATTTATTGTTAATAAAATATAAAAACATATTTTTGAAAACCTATATTTAAGTAATTTTTAAAAATATATATTTATTAAAATGTAATTATTTAAACATTTAAAATAATTCAATTAAATTTTAAAAAAATAATTATCAAATGAAATTAAAAATAACTTTAATAGAACAGTAATAATAATTTTAAATAATAAAATAAGTTATTGAAATTATTCTAGAGCTACTTGAATAAATTAAAATAAAAATTTATAAAAGAAAAAAAGAAAAATAAAATAAGATAAACATGAATTCATTATAATCTACGTTCGAGCAAGAATTTGTAGGAGAAGTCTCACGTGCGATAGTTTAATATACGGTTAAAAAAGGCGCTACCGGAAATGTTATTATTTTTTTAACTTTTTGATAAAAATTACCTAAAACATTATTATTTCTACCGAAAATGTTATTATTAGACGCTTTACCAGGTTTGATAATATATCCGATAGAAAAATAATGTTTTAGGTATTGTTTTACCTCTATCATAGAAGCAGAGTTATTAAAAGTTGAAAAAAGTATAACACAAAAAAATAGATAAAAGTAAGAAATACTGATAATTGACAACCAACATTAAGATTAATTATGCTGGCTACAAACTTAAAAGAAAAAAATGAAAAAGAGAAAAGTATAAGAGTTAAAAATGAATAAATAAAGCATATCAATTATATTTATAGCTTATGTATATTATAAGAACTAAGAACAAAATTTGACCAAAGTAAATAAAGCCCTTGCAAGAGAATAGAAAAGAACTAAAACCCTAAAACCAAAGTAAGCTAAACCCTTCCATTGCCGGCGTCCCTCCTTGATTGGCCTCCGCTTTAACATCCACGCCAACCTTAGATCCTCGGCTTGCTTCCTGCACCCACGGTAAGCTGACAGCTCGAGGCAAAGGCAAACTCGGTTTGTTTTGTTTCCTTGCTCTGTCGGGGCCACAGCCGAGTTAAATCATTGTATGTTTTCCTTTACAATCAATTCTCTTCATTGTTATTAATTTTGCTGTTTTTTGAAGACCTTATTTTTATAAATTGTTGGTTGGATGCTGCTATGCATGTGCAGTGAGATTGACAGAATGTTTTTTTTTTCGTTGCCTTTCTTCCTTTTTTGAGTTCTTTTTCAATTGATTGCAACAAGTTGGTTATGAGAGTATGAATTTTCTTGTTCGCTAAAGTTTGGATTTATTTATGGAAATCAAAGTTGGCTCTGTTTCGCCTCCTCGTGTTTGAGACTGTTTAGCTTGCTAAACAGAGATTTCCAATTAGAGCCGATACAACTAAAACCAAAAACCTTAATGAAAAAACTTCCAATGGCCAAAAAAAAATTCAACAAATCTCTTTCCTGTCCTTTCAGGGAAAAATGCCGTCAGTGACATTAAAAAGGAACTATCGATGCTCTCAATCGCTGCAACAGTTTTATAGTGGTGGGCCTTTTGTGGTCTCTTCGGATGGCTCTTTCATTGCTTGTGCATGCGATGAATCCATAAAGATTGTGGATTCATCAAAGGCCTCAACGAAATCTACCATTGAGGCCGAGTCAGGTACCATCACAGCACTGGCTTTAAGTCCCAATGATAAGCTGTTATTCTCTGCTGGACATAGTAGGCAAATTAAGGTCTGGGACTTGGATACTTTCAAATGCCTACGCTCTTGGAAGGTCAGCCTTTACTTTATTTTTCTCCTCCAAGTAATGTTATGAGGATTTTGAACTTGTTCTTTGATAAGATCCCAAAAAGTGGGTTTTGATGTTATAATAAATTATGTTTTTGAAGAACCAAAATTTACTATTGTAATTTTGTTAGGAACATAAGATAGCATGTTTTTTGCTTAGATGAGGTAAATATAAATATGTTTTCTTTTTCAAATTATTTAAATTAAACTGCACATTAAAGAAATAGTAGCAGAAGTAACAACAGAGTGAAGCATTACATGCTGTAATGATTTTTTTTATAAATTGCATGACTTGTTAAGTTCATATATAATTGTGTCAATGTCACAATGAAGCATGTATTATTATAACGGCTTATATAAAGTTCAAGTCAATGGGTCTCGTAACCAACTTCAATTTCAAATAAAGAAGAATCATACATCAAAATGGACTTCAATTTTAACTGAGCTTAACATAGGATGTCTTTAATTGGGGTAGAATGGCATTTTATGATCCAAATTGTTGATTTTGCATTGAGGGGAAAAAGTCAAAGTGGTTGCTTGATGTATGACATAATTTTTGTATTAGTATTAATGTATATTTAATGTTATGTTCACAAACTCGGCGGAGCTTTTGGCCTTATTTTTATTTTAATATTTACCTTTGAGTAGGGCCATGATGGTCCTGTAATGGGTATGGCTTGCCATGGATCTGGTGGGTTGCTTGCAACTGCAGGAGCTGATAGGAAAGTTCTTGTTTGGGATGTTGATGGTGGTTTCTGCACTCATTACTTTAAAGGTCATAAAGGTGTTGTGACCAGTATTATGTTTCATCCTGATATAAATAAAAGCCTTGTAAGTTCTAACTCCATCTATTTAGTCTTTGTTTTTTAATCTTTAATCCTTACGCTAGCAATTGCTTGCTTCATTTTTCCCTGTAAATGTAATTTTTCTGAACCTTTTCCTTGTTTCTGTAGCTTTTCTCTGGAAGTGATGACACTACTGTACGAGTATGGGATCTTCTAGCCAAGAAGTGTGTTGCAGTATTAGAAAAACATTTCTCAGCAGTTTCTTCTGTGGCAGTGTCTGAAGATGGATGGACGTTGCTAAGTGCCGGAAGAGATAAGGTATAGAAGTAGGGGCACTACTACTTTTTAAACAGTGTGAATTGCCTGTAAGTGCTAATCCTATTTTTGACAGCATTAATGCTTTTTGGGAAACTCTACTTGGTCTACATTTAGGTTATTTAAACTAGTGGTTTTTGTTTCTTCTATATTTTTATCCCTTCAATTGTATCTCTAACTGTATCTGGTTTCTTCTTCTGTATGATTGTTCACTAGTCTTCAGTATTTTGGAGTATCTTGCTAATGCTTTGTACTTCTAGAGATTTGTGTTAATATTTGCCTACATTCTTGGGTGCTCTGCTTTATGTTATGTTCGACTGGTGTGTATAGCTCCTTATTTTTTGTAATCTAAATAAAGTTCAGCAATCAATTGTATCAAATTGTCAACCAGAAAGCATTTCTTTGTCATCTCAGGTTGTAAATTTGTGGGACCTTCATGACTATAAATGCAAGAGTACAGTCCCAACATATGAGGTGCTTGAAGCTGTGTGTATAATTTATTCTGGGAGTCATTTTGCTTCATCTCTGGGTGCATTCCTTCAGCAAAGTGGAAAGAAAAAAAGTGGGTCAACTGGAATTTATTTTATCACAGCTGGTGAACGTGGAATTGTACGCGTCTGGACTTCTGAAGGGTAATAACATGGAATTCTTATTGTATTTTCTTCTTTAAGATTCAAGTTTGATGATATAGATTTCCCTCCGGGAGTTTTTGGTCATCCCTCTGAGGATACACATCTTCATTTTTACATATACAAAATAAATCTATTTGTTTCCTTCATTGAAGAGTAATAAAGTGGCATCTTTTCCTAAAATTTAGTTTGAATAATTTAGTGGCCGCTTTGTTTGTCTCCTCCATGAAGATACATGTCTTTGCATTGATGTATACTAAATATATTTTATTTTGTCATTTCCTTTGACAGTGCAGTTTGCTTGTACGAGCAGAAGTCCTCAGATGTTACTGTTAGCTCAGACATGGGTGAAGATTCTACAAGGGGTTTCACAAGTGCTGCTATGCTGCCCATGGATCAAGGATTGCTTTGTGTGACAGCTGATCAGCAGTTTCTCTTCTATTCTCCAGCAGAGCATCTGGAAGAAAAGTGGTCTTTAAAATTGACCAAAAGGCTTGTGGGTTTCAATGATGAGATTGTGGATATGAAGTTTCTTGATGAAGAGGAACAATATCTAGCTGTTGCTACTAATCTTGAACAGGTGATTTAGTAAAGCTTGCTGACGGTGCATTTGGACATTGTACTACATAGTGATTACTTATTTCGATGTTCAATGATCCAATTGTTAGCTTGATTTCAAATTTGGATTTATTTGTGCTCTTTGTTGGCCCTTTTCATGTTGTTTTACCCAATTATATTTGATAGATTTCTGTGGTAGTTTCTTAACTGGATTGATTTTATTAATGTATTCTCCTTAAAGAGGCTTTCTGTGTGCCTGTTTGAGTTTACAGACCCTTCATGTGTGTGCATGTGTATGTTTTTCTGCACTTACGATTTATGTGGATTAAGATGTAAATGTCTAATTTGTATCGATTAACACATATGCAGGTTCGAGTGTATGACCTTTCCTCCATGTCATGTTCCTACGTGTTGGCCGGTCATACTGATACTATTCTTTGCCTTGATACATCTATTTCAAGTGATAAAAGAAGGCTTATTCTAACAGGGAGTAAGGACAATAGTGTATGTTTTTCCTTCTCTATCACTCATATATATATTTGCTTTGCTACTAAGAGTTGCCTGTGTTAGGGGGGGTGGGTGAGCCTGACGATGCTAAGTAGTTTTGCATGATGCATGGTGTGGTCTCTTTTGCCACAAACATTCTCATAGAGCAGGCATCTTTATTTTCTTCATCTACTTTTATAGGTAAGGCTGTGGGAACCAGAAAGACGATGTTGCATAGGACTTGGCATAGGTCACATGGGAGCGGTTGGAACTGTTGCTTTTTCCAAGAAGCGCCAAGATTTTTTTGTTAGTGGCAGTAGGTGAGCACTTATTTTCGGAACCTTGTCTGTTTGTTTGCAATCAAATTTTATTACATGTGGTGTGCACTCTCTGTTATAATCACTTCTAAACTTTCTTATGAGTTAGTCAAACAACATGATGCTTAATTACTAATTGTTCTCGGTCTGTGTTTGTGGTAGGAGTGAAGTGCTAAGATTTAACCATCTCTTATGTGATCTAAAAGAGCTAATTGTTCTCCTTGACTTGACAAATGTAATTAGGTTTTGGGTTGCCGGTTGTAGTTGACTTAAGATACACTGGGCATTATGCCTTCAAAATTGTCTGCCAGTTTTGGTCGGCAGTATGACATTAAATCATTTTTTAACTTAGAGATTGGGGTATTCTTAAAGGACAATAGAGAAATGAGTTCACGATGCATCTTGGACCTTGTATTTTGTAAGTTATGCTAAATGATGGGTCATGTTTCCTTAGAACCTGTGAAGTGGTTGTTTTAGATTTGGTGCTTTAAAAATATTATTGTTTTCTCCATGTCATCTTTTATTTTATGCTGATAAGCTTATGTTGTGTGGAAGTAGAAACAAAAAAGGAAACAAAAGTGTGGAAGCTTTTAATCATAGCTGTTGGATGCAAATAAGCCCCTTTCTAATCCTAGCCATTCAAACTCATTAAAAAAGAGCATATCCTAGTTATATGACCAAATAAATATAAACCATAGTTAGTACCCTTAACTAAAGTAGGACAGGAAACATAAAGGAAAAAAATCTCTATGTAAACAACTTGAGATGAACTCTTGAGTGCTTCCGTGATATCTTTATATTTTTCTTTTCCAGTAACTTGTATTCTGGAGTGCGTCGATTCTGTACTTTTCCTGTTATAAGAATTTATGGTTGCAAAACTGTTGCCAAATTTGCAACTTACTGATTTTATTCTTTTTTTTCTTTCTTTTGGATGATAATGGTTTTCTATTCTCACACATGTACCATATTCTTCAGTGATCGTACCATTAAGGTTTGGAACTTTGATGGACTCTCAGATGACATCGAACAACCTATTAATTTAAAAGCAAAGGCAGTTGTAGCAGCGCATGATAAAGACATAAATTCTCTGGCTGTTGCACCAAATGACAGTCTAGTGTGTAGTGGTTCTCAGGTTAGTAGGCAATGCATCTCAGTCAGCCTCCTATTTTGTTATTGCCTTATTAATTTTCTTTTATTAGTGGAGAATGAAACTACATATATTATCTTTGAGGCATCCTTATATGATTCCAAAGATACATTTAAAAGGTTAAAATGTGTTTATTTGGCAATCAGGATCGTACTGCTTGTGTTTGGAGGCTTCCAGAACTGGTACTTGTGGTTAAATTTACAGGGCATAAACGAGGGATCTGGTGTGTAGAGTTTTCACCTGTTGATCAATGTGTAATAACGGCATCAGGTGACAAGACTGTAAAGATATGGGCTATAGCTGATGGTTCATGCCTAAAAACGTTTGAAGGGCATACATCAAGTGTATTAAGAGCATCATTTCTTACACGTGGAACCCAGTTTGTATCATGCGGTAACTACTTCTTTCTCTTCACTCATTAGGATTTCTTCCATTTTAGCATTTTGGTGACATTTAGCATGTGATTCACCATTCAGGTGCTGATGGGTTGGTTAAGCTGTGGACAATCAAAACGAATGAATGCATTGCTACCTATGATCAGCACGAGGATAAGGTTTTGAATTATTACTTGTTTATTTTAATGTTTGGGAACTTGCATATATCTTTACTTGTGCATGGAGGAAGATGAAAAGATTTTTAAGAGCTTCACTTGCACATGGAGGAAGGTGAAGCTATGTGGCATTAATGCTTTAAATTTTTACGATAAAATTTGGTCTGCAGGTTTGGGCATTGGCTGTTGGGAAAAAAACAGAAATGTTAGCAACAGGTGGTAGTGATGCAGTGATCAATCTTTGGTATGATGCAACTGCTGCAGAGAAAGAGGAAGCTTTCCGTAAAGAGGTATGCTATCTATACTTTTGTACTTTGATATTGTTTCCTCTTGGAGCATAATGGAACATATAATTTGACAAATTTAGAATAGGCCCTTGGATATGTTAAGAGAAAATCAAGTGGTGGAATTATTGTTGTGTAAATTATGTATTAGTAGCTCAAAACTTTTGACTGTGTTTTTCCATTCCGACGCAGGAAGAAGGCGTTTTGAGAGGGCAAGAATTAGAAAATGCATTATTAGATGCCGAATACACAAAGGCAATACAAATTGCTTTGGAGCTCCGGAGGCCTCATAAGCTTTTCGAGTTGTTTTCTGAGCTCTGCAGGTTAGTAATACCTAGTCATATATATGCTTCCTTAGTCCTACACAACATTTTATCATAAGAATGCTATATAGGATGAGAGAAGCTGGGGATCATATAGACAAGGCTCTTCACGCCCTTGGCAAAGAAGAATTTCTTCTACTTTTTGGGTATATACGAGAATGGAATACGAAGCCAAAGCTGTGTCATGTTGCCCAGTCTGTTCTTTTCCGAGCTTTCAACATTCTTCCTCCAACAGAGATTATCGAGGTATTCTTTAGCAATAGTTACTTGATGTTAATAGCCCGTTTGTCGTTTATTATTGAAGTTGAATTTTAATGCCCCGTCTCTTCTTAAATTTTCAATATTTTTGTATCCAAATGCGCTTTACGGTCCTAGAAGCAAAATGTTATTTGAAAATGCAAGAACCATTGCATTTTTCAGGGTTTTCATCCCGGTTTATTGATGTTTAAGTGTTTATTTTGTTTGATATAATAGTTTTTATACCCACTGAATTGAGCGCTTGAACAAACTATGTTGCAGATTAAAGGCATTAGTGAACTGCTTGAGGGTCTTATCCCATATTCTCAGAGACATTTCAGCAGGATAGACAGGCTTATAAGAAGCACATTTCTCTTGGACTACACTCTCACTCGAATGTCCGTTATTGAACCCGTGATTCAGGGTGATTTGAAGATCAAGTCTTCATCACATTCCGGGAAAAACACAGATGATGCGCTTTCAACAGATAATGCCGAGGAAGATCAAAAACAAGTTTCTGAAGGAGCGAAATCGAAGGCCTCAGCAAAAAAGAGGAAATCACGGAAATCTGGAGACGGTTCTCGCTCACGTAAGAAGGTGAAGGACAGCTCAGTTCATGCAAGTAATGCGGCCGTGCCATTGCAGGCGTAACTGGATGTAAGTTAGTTTCTCTTTTCTGATCTGCATGAACATCCATACTCGGTGGGGGGAATTGTAGTTGGCTATTGTTTGTTGTTAACTAAACGTTGGTTCTATAGATACCTCTATTTATTACTATAAAATATATGAAATAATTAAAGAAAAATTTGTCAGACCTCAATTAAAAAATTATATTTATAAAAACAAAAAATTATTTTAGCTCCGCTATAATAAATTCCTAGTTCTGCCATGCTGGATCAACATGAAATTGAGCATATGCATTCTGGAAAGCGCAAGCCTCTTTAATCAGGTGCCACCTCGGTATTAATCTACCCTCGTGGACAACCAAATTTCGTCGTTGCCATAAAGAGTAAGTTATACCTAACAGATCCACGAATTGTTGAAGGGGGAGGGCCTGCATTGAAAATGAAAACCCATCACCACATGAGGCACGAGGGGTGTGAATGAACGTATTTGAGAACCCCGCAGCAGTTAAGATGGCATTAGAATCGAAACAGTCCCGAATCACATGTGGAGTTGTTTCACAATGAAGACCACAAATAGGACACCGTCCATCACTCAAACCGGCAGCTAAGAGGCGAGAACCCACTGGAAGAGCATTAGCCACGACATGCCAGTGCCTAGGCATTGTAGGTTACTGAGATAAGAATAACATCAGTTGGAAGAAGATAACAGCCCATTGTATACGTTGGGATTGCCTGGCCGACAGATTTAATATATACCTCCCTTCCGCCATACGAAACAAGGTTTTTGGACCAGCCTGTTACCTTCTTGAGGAGCTTATCACGGAGGAAGGAGAACGTCGACCGTTTATTTCGACCAACACACAATGGTTGTCCCAAATAAAAATCCGGATCAATAACTTCTTCCACACTCAAATCTGACAGGTGTCGATCGAAAAGCAACAGTAGTGGTCGTACCAAAGAAAATGCTAGACTTGTTATAATTAATCTGCTGGCCTGAAGCATTCACATAACTATAAAAAATACGACGAATAACTAGGACCTCATCAGTGGAAGTTCAGAGGAAAAGGAGACGATCATCAGCGAAAATCAGGTGCGTAATAGGAGGCCCTTGACGGCTAATTTTCATACCCCGAATTTGTCCTAAGTTCCGATTATGATGGAACCGTGACGATAAGCCTTGTCTACATAGAACAAACAGGAAAGGTGACAATGGGTCACCTTGCCGCAAACCCCTTGTTAGTTGGAAAGACTTGGTTAATAACCCATTGATACGAATGTTGTAAGATACGGTGGTCACACAAGACATGGTTAAATCAACCCAAGACTGATGAAACCCGGGACAAATCAACCCAAGACTGATAAAACCCGGGACGCTTCATCAATGCCCGAAGGAAAGCCCATTCAACGCGGTCATAAGACTTTTCCATATCCAATTTTAAAGCTGCGCCTCGAGAAGAATTACCAGTTTCTGACTTCAAATGGTGGAAAACTCAATAAGTATGTTATCTGTTCCCTGTCGGCCCGGAACAAACGCCACTTGGTTCTCATCAACACACATGGGCAGAAGAGGTTTCATCTGGTTACTATGCACTCGAAACTATCTTATAAATCACCCGAAACAAAGCAATCAGCGGAACTGAGGAAACCAGAATGAATCAGCCACCTTAGGCAATAAAACAAGTACTGTTTGGTTTACAGAAGCCATAGATAATTGGCCGAAAAGTAATCCCAAACACATATCTATAAAATCCTTTCCAACTATAGGCCAAAAGGCTTTATAAAAACTAGCCGGAAGACCAGCCAATCTTGGAGCTTTATTCGGATGAATATGACAAAAAGTTGTATATACTTCCGTGGCTGAGAACGGGGTAACAAGTGCGGTATTCATCTCAAGCGTAACAACTAGTTGTACAAAATCTATAACTTCATACATCCAAAGGTTCTAACGGAGAACAACTCCGAGAAATAATGAACTACCTCTACACAAATATCGTCAATGAGATCCACCCATTCTCCATCCGTTGTAAAGACTCCACGCACAAAATTCTTACGTCGACGAAGAGAAGCCCGTGCATAAAAATAGGGTGTGTTCTGATCCCCATGTTGCAACCAATTGTTACCTGATCGCTGATGCCAGTAAGCCTCATCAAGTGCACTACAATGGTGGAGCACCACTTTCAGGTTTGCCACTTCAAGAATCTCAGCATCTAAAAGTGGACGAGAAATGAGGCAATCAAGATGGGGACGGGCAGAAGCTAACTGAGTTTTGTTAGCATCACGGCGTTCAAATTGCCGATTTCTTTAAGACATCTCCAACCGACTGAATTTTATCAAGTGTGTAAGTAGAGGATCCCGACCAAGCGTGTTGTACACGAGAGCGACAACCTTCTTCACTAACCCAGTAAGCATCAAAACGAAAATAGTCAGTGTTACCCGTGTTGTGGGCGACTGTCTCCCGTCATACATTCCATGGTAATAAAGCAGTGATCAGAAGTATGAATGAATTCACTTGATGATCGACAAGTGGAATGGGCAATAAGCCAGGTTGAAGAAACAACAAAACGGTAAGTGTTCACATAGTTGACTCCACTGTACCCGACCCTTATGCCATGTAAACCAACCTTTACTTGGACTAACATCAGAAAGACCATTATGGTTTAGAGCCGACTGAAATGCCTAGATATCCCCCCGAACTCTCATACGTCCATCAGCCTTCTCCGAGTCTTGAAGAATTTCATTAAAGTCTCCACCGACTAACCACGAAAGAGTAGAAGATCGGTTAAGACGATCAAGAAAAGCCCAAATTCAGAGTGTCGACGCCTGTCACTTTGACCATGTAACCCCATGATCGGAATTTATCAGTACCACATTCAACAATGACATCAATATGCAAATCCGAATATGAAAATAGGTCAACTATACTAGTAGAATCCCAAAATAACAATAAACATGAACAAGTAGAACTACTATCAAAAGATAAATAACCCTCCATCCCTAGACGATGCTTCAAGTAGCCCATACGGTCGTGTCGGAGACGACTTCACAAAAGAATAAGAGGACGGGCCCTTTTTGAGCTATCAAAAGCTCTAAAGATCGGACTGTCTGGGGTTCCCAAGCTCCTGCCAGTTCCAACAAATGAGATTCATAATCCTTGGCAGGGCTGGTTCTCAGCCGCCGTTGAATCAGCAGATGTAGGAGCATCCCCAGAAATAGGAGATTTAGAACGTGCCTTTTTTAAAGCAGATAAAACAGTGGTGTCAGGTAAACCCGAGGGAGGCCGCTTTGCAACCCGCAAGGTGTTGAAACTAAGAATACTTTGAACAAATTTCCAATGCTTTCATTCAACTGAAAAAAATTAACTTTACAAAGTTGACACAGCTATATATATACACCAATTTGCAAGCTTAAAAAGTGACTAACTAATAAACTGCTAATCTAACAAACTTCTAACAAACTAACGTTCTAACTACTTTCTAACTTCAACGCTCTCCCTCAAGTTGGTGGGTAAAAAGCATCTTTTACCCCCAACTTGGATAGTAAATGTTCATGTTGTGTAACTCCCAACTTTTTTGTCAAAATGTCTATTGCTCCTTTGTTGTAAAAAAACATCAATTTTAATGTGTTTAGTCCATTCATGAAATACCAGATTGACAACAATTTAAAGAGCTTCCTTACTATCACAATATATCATTATAAGCCATGTTAACCTCACATCTAATTTAACAATAAATCCTTTTACCTAAACTATTCCTGCTGATGTTGCTGCTAACTCCTATACTCTGCTTCAGTTTTGGATCTAGCCATTGTTCCTTGTTTCTTTGCCTTTCAAGAAACTAGTGAATGTCCTAGCTTGACACAAAAACAAGAGACCAACTTCCTTGTCATGGGATAAGTTGCCTAATCTGAATCACTATATGCTACAAATTCACAATTAGGAACAAAATTCCTTTCCCCGGATTCTTTTTCAAGTACCTCACTACACGTAAAACACCTTCTGTATAAGATTGTTTCGGCGGATGCATAAATTGACTTGGACGGTGGACTGAGTAGGCTATATCAGACCTTGTATTAGTTAGATATATGAGTTTTCCCACCAACCTTCGAAAAACAACTCTATCTTCTAGAGTTCTATCATCAACGTTATTTGACAAACTCGAGTCAAATTCGACAGATGTCAACCTTGTGTTCTGTTCAAGAGGTGTTGAAGCCACCCTTGCACCACCCAAGGCAGTGTCCCTTATCAACTCTAGGACATATTTGCTTTGATTAATTATTATCCCTTCCTTGGATCTTAAAATTTCTAGACCCAAAAAAATATTTCATTTTCCCAAGATCTTTCATTTTAAAGTGCAAATGTAAAATCTGTTTTAACTCTTCAATAGTCACACCATCACTCCCTGTGATCAACAAATCATCTATATACACCAACATTACCACAATCTTGCTTCCTTGTTGCATTGTAAACATTGAATAATCATGTTTACATTGTTGATAACTTACAGCTATCAATGTTTATGACAACTTCAAATTCTATTTCTTAGAAGCTTGTTTCAGTCAATACAATGCCTTTTGTAGTCTACACTCCAAGTTTTCCCCATGACTACAAAAGCCTTATGAAAGTTGCATGTAAACCTCTTCAGTCAAGTCACCTTGCAAAAACTCATAGCATACATCCATATGCCCTAAAGGCCAATCAAACATAGCTGCCAAGGCCAAAACCAGTTTAAAAGTAGTTATTTTTTCCACAGGAGAGAAGGTATCCACATAATCCACACCTTCCCGTTGATTAAAACCCTTGGACCATTGAAAACATTTTGATGTTTCGATATAACAAATAAAGTGAAAATGAATTTTAAGATTTTATATTCAATTATATATTCGATTTAATTATTCGAATATAAAAAATATTACTCCAAGTTTTTAAATGTCAATTTTAATCCTTACTTAAGTGTAAAATTGTGTTTTAATCTTAAAACATTTTTGAAACAATTTTTACAAAGTATTTCGAACCATAATCGAGCCAAAAATAAATTTTATATAGGGAGGTACCGATACATTCCTCGGATGTACCGATACCCCTCAATTTTGAATAAAATAA